CATTCCCTTGCCTGCTGCAAGTAGAGCATGTGCGAGCAGGGAAGAACTTGGGCCTGCAGGGGAGAGAGAATGCCCAGTGACAAAGTGACCTCTCACTAAGTGTCCAAGGGTGTTCTGGATGAATGACCTATCGCCTGGCAATCTAAGGACAAAGATCACAACCACCCTTGTTTACAGATAAGCCAAAGATTCTGGAGCTGGAGAGGGGCACGGCTGGAGTGCAAACCAAGGTGCTTCTGGTTCCAATGCTAGCATTCAGGTCACACAGGGTAGACACAGCACTGAGCAAAAGCAGACAGTGTCCCCCATCAAATTCAGATGAGAGTATTCAGCAAGTAGAAAAACAAGTCACACTAAAACCAATTTTCTTTTCTTTTCTTTTGGTTTTTTGACACAGGGTTTCTCTGTGTAGCTTTGGAGCCTATCCTGGCACTCACTCTGGAGACCAGGTTGGCCTGGAACTCAGAGATCTGCCTGCCTCTGCCTCCTGAGTGCTGGAATTAAAGGTGTGTGCCACCAACGCCCAGCTAAAAACAATTTTTTTAACAGGTTGAAGATAGAGCTGGACAGAACGCTTGCCTAGCATGTATAAAATAAAGCCTTGGGTTTGAGTCCCAGCACTGAAAAATTTAATTTTTTTTTTTTTTTTTTTTGAGACAGGGTCTATTTGTGTAGCCCTGGCTGGTCAGGAAATCACTATGGAGACCAGGCTAGCCTGAAGCTCACAGAGATCAGTAGTTGATGTTTTTGCTCTTTTTATCTTTTGGCTTTTTTGGCGTTTTTGAGGGGCCAACCACCCAGCTCCGAAATAAATCACACAGGAATGCTTATGAATGTCCAGCCTTATCTAGACTTGTTGCTAGCCAGCTTTTCTTAAATTATGCCATCTACCTTTTCCCTCTGGGCTTTTATCTTTCTTCTACAACTCTTACTGGGTGGCTGGCTGGCCTCCAATGTCCTGCTCTCCTGTTCTCTCATTGCTGCTCCTTGCTCGGTTCTCCTGTTTATCCTCTCTGCCTGCCAGCCCCACCTAGCCTTGCTCCTGCCTGGCTATTGGCTGTTCAGCTCTTTATTAGGGCTACCAGGTGTTTCAGACAGCTTCACAGAGTTAAACAAATGTAGCATAAACAAAAGTCATGTTAAAGTAATATTCTACCACAGAGATCCACCTGCCTCTGCCTCCTGGGTGCTGAGATTTAAAGGAACATACTACCATGCCTGGGAAAAAGAATTTTTTTAATCTCATACATATGCCAGAAATTCATCATGGTTGCTAAAACAACAAATAAGAAACGACAGACTAACAGAATGGTGGTACTTTCATATTTTAAATACACTAGTTTCTAATTACAGTAGAGTAAGCCATTCTCAGGCCCAGCCACTGGCCTCAGAACTGAAAAGCAAACACAGGATGGTAAGGGCTAATGTTTACTGAGTTCTTATCACAAACTGTTCTCACACCTGAGTAGAGCCTTAACACACATGACAACTGTCATCCTCCGAGGACAAAGCAGAGCAAGCCACAGAGCAGCTACCCATCCAGAAAGAGCCGCTGCCAGGATTCTGGCACAGTCAGTCAAGCAACAGCAATAACAAGGTCTTAAGTGCTCATTAGTTATATGGGGCTTTAGTGTAACTGGACATTTTACAGCACGGCTTTTGCAAGTCAGATGATCTCTGTGATGTACTGTTAAATGAGAGAGAGAAATGACGTCAGCCCAAACACGATAACAACGGTACTGACTAACACTAGTAGAGTACCTACAATGTGCCTGAGGCTGAAGATATGTGAACCCACAGAATTTCACGGGTACCCTATGAAGAGGCTGGGTAAGGTGGCACACATCTGTGATTCCAGTACTTGGGAAGCAAGAGGAGTATAAGTTGAGGGCAGTCTGGGCTACATTATAAGATCCTGTATCAAAAACAAAACAAAGCAAATTAAATCATAAAAGCTAGCATAGTGTAAGAGATTCTACATCATCATTCTTGCCTTACAGCCGGGGTAACTGAGGCATTGGAAAGTTCCTAACTTGCTACAAGGGACAGAATATTTGAGCTCAGGCAGTCGTGTCCAGAGGCTGTGCCAGACCACCTTATGGCAGCCTTTCTGTATTTGCTTCTGTCATTCTCCTACAGGCAGTTCAAGACCACACAAAGCACTTTCATGAGCATGTAAGGGCCCTGGGGGAAGAGTTAAGTGGGTGTCTCTAGACTGGGATTCCATAGCACCTCTCTGAACAGGAATATTCAGGCTGAGACTTGAAGAATGGGAAGGAGCCAGAGAGACTGCAGCAAAAACACTCAGGCAAAGAATCATCAAATGCAAAGTCCAGAAATCGAAAAAAGCAAAAACAAAACAAAACAAAACAAAAAAAAGTGCAACTTCAGGAAAACAGAAAGCAGACCAGTGTGGCAAAACCTCAGCAAGAAGGACATAGAAGGAAGCCAGCAATGGTGCTAGTATTCAGGCATCTGCACTGGCCTGTCCTTGGGGTTCTGGCAGAATACGCCCTCAGCTACAGCCACTAAGAGGACCATCTGTGCCTATTCATCATGTTCCCTTTTAAAAGTCAACCTCCCATCATTCTCTCTCTCTCTCTTTCCCTCTCTTTCCCCTCTCCTGCTGCTCCTGTCTCTGGAGGCTGGTCTTCCCCCACACTTTGTTTTCCAAGACAGGGTTTATCTGTGTAGCTTTGTAGACCAGGCTGGCCTCGAATTCACAGAGATCCACTTGCCTCTGCCTCCCGAGTGCTGGCATTAAAGGAGTGTGCCACCAAAGCCTGGCCCCTTTTATGATCCCTTTCCCTCCTAAAAAAACCTCTGCTTGAACCCTGTTGTATGGCATCTTTCACTCACGTGCTGCTTTTCTTAAATTACAACACATGGGGTGGTGAGGCTCGCCTTTTAATCCCAGCCTAGGCATCAAAAATCCACATAAGAGGAAAAAGAGCCACCAGCAGCTGCCACAGATGCATCCTTTATCTGGACACTGTGTGTGTGCCAAGAAGGGCACAGTCACCATTTCATCTTCCTTCCATCCTGTGCATAGTATGACTGTCATCTCCAGTTCATAAAAAGATTTAGGTGTCCAGAAAATGACTAGAGAACCACTCTGTGTCGCTGGTGGGGTGGAAAGCTGCCTCAGCAGTTAAGAGCGCACTTGTTGCTCTCCCAAAGGGCCCACAACCATCTGCAACTCCGGTTCCTGAGGATCCAACAACCCCTTTCTGACCTCCTCAGGCAGCAGGCACCCACATGGTGCAAATACATACATGTAAGCAGAAAGGCCACACACATAAGTAAGGATTGATAAACCTGAAACAAACAAACAAACGCTGTGTGGCCAGAAAGGCGGCTCAGTGTCAGAACACAGTCCAACAATAGAGGCATGTGAGTGGGATTATTCTGAATGTTTGTGAGAAAACTCCAAGAAACCAAGACAAGAGTCTTGCGGCCTCAGTTTCTTCAAAAACAAAAACAAAAACAAAAACAAAAAAGCACGCAATTGTTCTTGGATGATGCTTTTGTGCCCCTGGGAGGGGCACAGGAGGGGTGCGATGACTTCAAATAACTCGCTCCAGCTGGCTACCATCATGTGTTTATGTGTGAGCCTCTACAGAAGAGCATGTTTCTGCCACATGGGGCTTGCTTGTCCCTGTGACTGTACATACACTGTACCCATGTGGCCCCACTCCACCCTCGGAGTACAAACCGTCTCAGGCTCTGGAGGGAAGCTGGCTATTTTATTGCTCTTGACTTCTGTCTGACTCATTTATTGGTCCC